TGGAATATATTTTATGCAGTATAGGCAGCACTAATACATTGACGGATACGATGTCTGATGAATGAAGACCTCACAATCGTAAAAAAGCTCATAATTAGCAACTTTTTTAAAACTGAAAGCTACTCTTTGTTTGGGTAGAAAATTTAAAGAAGGCTATCAAACATGTACAAGGAATAATTTTTTGTGCATGTTTTCCATAAAATATATTTGAATTTATAATGGCAGTCAAAATCAATGATAAAAAAGGCATACTACCTAATTAGTCAGTTTTTACAATAGATACGTTTTGCTAGCGGTCAGAACAAAGCTCATAAAAAAGCCTGCATCCTATCCTGACTGAAATGACCTTAGAATACACTACACGATAATCAGTATCACAACTTGAGTCAATACCGATTAACGGATGAGTATGAATCTTTCGCGTATGTCGAAATGTTGCATGATCTTTGGCGTCTACTGTACTTAGATAACCCCATACTCCCATGGGAAGGAACCCTCCCCCCACACGGGATAAGGTGACCCTGCGCTTAACTGCTGAAAGGGAGTGCATATTCCCAGGTGCTTATATGTTTTGTTGACTTTTAGTAAACAAAACAAAACGCTACTGGCATTGAGTACAGAACCACGTCCTTATTAAACTGCCCAAATAGGCTACAGCTATCGCTACCTCGAAATACACCTGTGTGAATAATTGCGAGCAGGTGGAACGGGATATGCCTTCTGGATAAACAGTTGTCTGTCGGAAGCACAAGACATCGGGGACTGAGCTCATCAAGATTAACCTGTTGTCCCTGATGACCTACAAACTGGGTCCATTACAAAATGTTATTACTGTATGTAAAGAATTAGGTTATCATCATGCAAACTTTCAGCTCTAGAAAAACACCGTAGGTTCTGTGAGCAATTTCATCGCGTTTTGTGTCTGTGCTCATCATTCGGAGTGATATCAGGTAGTGAGTATGTACAGTCTAGCTGACGTATTCCACACTACATCACGGATGTGAATAAAGACCATACCTTGTCACTGGTCAACTGCTTCTGACATGCATTCACCGTTTCATATATATAATTATCAGAGGTTGATTGTGCTTCCAGGAATACAAAAGCGCACGAAGGTTGATCCTTCAAATGCACAACTCAGCATCTAAACAAACCTGGGAGGCTAATGAGACCCTTCGTATGAGTGCATACTGAACCAGACGCTGTTACTGTGCATGGGCTCATTCAATCCCATTAAGATTTGACTGACAGGCTCGAGGAGCCCGTCGGTGCATGGGAGATTGAGCGAGACAGGCACGTGAGACCGACACCGAAGTACATAGCCATAAGGTAAATATGCGCATTCCAGACCATAACAAATTAGATGCGCTTAAAATGGTGTCGTGTGAGGTTGATAATTTATTCCTTCCTCATAATGTTTGTGATTTGTTCTTAGACTTGGGTCTCCCAGCCCCGGAATTTCCCCGTGGTTTCGTTCCCGAAATGGCTGTCTGGCCCTCGCTGTGGGTTTCTGAATTGTCACGTGACCGTCAAGTGCTGGAGACCGAGGCTCGAAACTCCAACGGTGACGTCTCTAGCTGTTGCCCACCCGTGGACTATCCCGACGATGGCACGCGGACAAGCTTAAAACCGGGCTACTGGCCGATGGAATACTGTCGAAACATGGCAAAGCTGTGCCTCAAAATGACTTGTGATGGTAAGTATTGCGTAGAAGCCGACCTCCTCAGGCAGGAGATTTGAGTTGGTGATGAATAAAATTTCTCTTTGGCACACCTAGGATAAAAACTTCACTACATTTGAACAAGACAAAGATCACTAGATTAGTAGAATTTATGACGTTATAAAATTTCGTGACCTCTCATTCAGCTCATTTCTTCAGGGAAAACAATGCTTCAATTCACCATATTTTTGAATATATGGTGACTGGTCTCACACAATAATAACCAGAATTCTGAAATGGTTTTCCTATTAGGAAAGAGTACCTAAGTAAGTTTGCAATATCGAATGCTGTGTGGCGCAATCCTATGCCATACGAGTGAGGCCAGGATGCCAGCCTTTAAAAGCATGTCTTTTAGACTAACTGCGAAAATCTTACTCGTTAAAAACTACCTACTAATGAAGTATGCATTTATTTTTATATTGGGTTTATATTGATTATAACTTCAGATAATTTTTGTTGAAAACGTATTCATGAATACCCATTCTTGCACATGTTTGATAGCAAACCACGTCTTCTACTAATTTGGTTCTTGGAGGAAGGCTGTCTTTCGTTTTAGAAAAAAGTTTCAAGTATTATTATTATACGTTCTTCTTTTCATGCCATGACCCATTTGCATGTAATGACGAACATAAGTGATCGCATGATTAGCTCCGACCCCTTCACATATTATTAGTATGTTTACAGTGTAACATTTCCGTTAAAGTCGGGTCTAGTCTGGTCAGTTATTCAGGCCTCTCATGAAATATAAAACATATTCCATATCCATAGTAAATATGACGAACGTATGCCATACCTTACATGGAAAGCTTACAGCTTGTAGAGTGAAAACCTCAAACACAAATTAAATCGCGGGCCGGGCTCAACGCTATTCGATAAATGTTAAACCCCTTAAAGAAGTTCATTCAAAAACCGCAACCTTCTCTGAAATATCCCGATATAATATCAGGGATAAGAAATATAGGAAGGCAGGTATTCCAAGGGATGTAATTTGGGGTCACATTCCTTCTTTGGGAAAAGATATTGACTTGATTGGCTAAATTTTCGACGCTGGTTCTCCAGGTTATCCTCAGCAGTGAATAAATGTGCAAAGAACAATTAAAATTGCAAAACTGCCAAAAAATCAATAATCATCTGTTGCAAACGCTAATTAGCGGCCGCAGTTTGCGTCAGTCTGGATCGATCGGCTCTTGTTTCTTCCGTTTTCCTTTGAGATTTGTTACGCGGCATCTAATTCAATATGCCGGCTGATGCACAAGTCATCGGAGTGCATGGTCCGACCTGCGCATTGCTTCCTAATCAAAAATGCATTTCAGAACTGTAGTTAACTCTTAGTGTGGTTGGTCACTGACTGCAATCGTGTTCTACCCTCAAGCCGCCCGCCAATAACACCTTCTTCTCCTTATGACTTTCAGCCTACTCCGAAAAGCCCGACGCTGGGGAATAAATATATAAGTGTGATTTGAAGCAGGAAATTGGACCTGAGCTCTGTCCTAGAACAGGAGATTAGGATTTCAACTGAAATTTGATTTGCTCGCAAACAAATGCAGCATGGATGACTATTCAAAAGATAATGAGCAAATCTGTAGCACGTGGCCTCTGCATCCATTCATTATGCCTCAGAAATGCAAGTTTATCTCTTAAGAGGAGTGTGCATCTAGTTAATTTCTTATTGCACTGCTGTTGGAAAAATATATCCTCTAAGTATTATGCTCAAAAGAAACTTATCTTGGAAATTAGAAGGTAATCACTCATTTCTAGTCATTTCCGAAATCAACCAGTATTTATTGAGTTTGCAGGCCATATGGTACTCATTGATCACTGCAATAAACAAGGATTTGATGACATACTTTGAGGACATCACTGATAACCTGGTGGTGTATAGCTGTGGTCTGTTGTCGACGGCCTGAATCGAGTAGCTGTCACAGAGAGCACAATTGGTTTGCCCTAAGCGTGTCACCCAGCTATTTTTGATCAATTGTCAAAAAGGGCCATCAGAAGGCCCTGGCTTCATTACTTTTTATGTTGGGAGGGAGAGTTTATGTGAGAGCCCTTATGTGTCTCCAACAAGTCAGACTTAAAATGTACGCCTTCAAACAGTTATTTGCTTACTTGCTAGCTCTTTTAAAAAGATTCAATTATGCTATTCCCGTTTTCCTTGTAGGCGTCGAGTGGAAGTTCTACGAATGCATCTTTGCATACTACCAGCCGGGCATTGTGTAAGTTTTTCCAGCGGGGTTATTTGCAGTCAATCTTTGGTCCATTTTGGTAGATGAGCGTTCGCCGATCACGTTAGGGAACATATTCGTCTTGGTGCGCCTTAGAACTCAGTCTGAAATCCCCAAGCTGTAGTCTGAGTTACATTACCAACAAGGACAAAGGAGACTGGAATGGTCACTTCTATTTTAATGACTTTCAGCACTCAGACATGTCATACTCCACAGAAACCTATACTAATAGCCACAATGCCGCTGCTTGTGGGGTTCTAGATCGAGCCCCAGGGTTGGCTGATTACGGCTAATACAACAGAAAGGGTTCTCCAGTCTATCTAGTTCTTTTCGGTAATTTCATTTTGCTCTAGAGTTAGAGGATTCAGAGTAAAACTTGAATGATCATTAAGCTGTCCTGTATTGAGGACAAACAACTGAACGCTACTCTCATGTGACCTTATATGCCACCGGTCCCAACCGGCAGGAA